GGTTCCGCAGTCCCTTGCCTCCTTAACCCCCTCGACGGCTCTGCTGCTGCCGCAGATACCAAAGTTTTTATTCGCATCTTCGTTATTTCCAAACTGATCAAACGGCCAAGAACAAACAAGAAAAGTCTTTTTAATGTAAGGATAGCTCACCTGATGTAGTAAAGATCAGTTCTCAGAGCAAAGGACTTCTACTTCCAGCAAAATCTGGTTCCCCGACTTACTCAGCCGGAAGAGCGAGCACCATTAGCTGCTTTACATAGACTTTTTTAAGTCTGTGTCAAAGGCATTTGATGTAGAGCATAAAGATGCACCTTGCGCGCTTCTGTCAACAGCCAGCCCGAGGCTGGGGCTCGGGTGCTACGTGTCCAACTCCCCAACAGAAGAAAAGTTAAGATTTTTTTTTTACTCATAATTTATTACCTTTGCTCAAAGTTTCAGCCCTTGGCCATTCGACAAAGCTTTTTCAAAACGGTTTTAGATTTAATCGGAAACCGTTGGAGTTGTGTTTTGATCCGACCGCCGCTCTGCGTTTATTTCTTGTAAAACAGAATAAAAGTTACATCGAACTGGTTTCGCCGACAAGAAGTCGGAGCCCTGGGCCTGGGGGGTGTTCTGGGCCGTGCTCCCCGCTGCCAGGACCCTCTCCGGGCTCGGAGGGAGCTCCCCGCAGGGACCGCCCGCCACCTCTCCCCGGGACTCCACCGGCGGCTTCGGACGCGGCTGAGCGGCTCAGGGGCGGGAGGGCAACCGGGACAAGACCGGTCCCTGTAGCCCCACAGCCGCGACCCACTCCGAACAAATGATCGACGAGCAGAGCTCCTAACTCAGCTCAGTCACTTGCTAGCGCTGCCTCGGACCTTACCCGACGGGGAGGGAGAGGTGAATGCTTGGCAATATTCACTGTAAACCACTGTGGTATTCACTCGCTTAATCCCGGCGTGGCTTCGAACACCGCAGGGAAGTACGGAGGGAGCCCGGGGCCGGGGCCGGACCCCTGAGGCCCGACGCCCGGCACCGTCGTCCAGCTCCCAGCGCCCTTCGGCGAGGTGCTCCGTGCCCGGGGGAAGCGCATCTGCCCCCGGCCGGAGTCGAGGCGAGAGCCCCCCGCACCCACGGCCCTCCAAGCAGAGGGGAGGGGAGCGGAGCTCTCTTGTAAAGCTCCCAGCCGTCGGAACCCGCAAGATAAACATCATTAGAAATCATTGTAATTGGGATTGTGAAATCTGACCTCTGACCCTCCGGGCTACGTGTCACAACCGTGTCTGCTTTGATTCCTCGAAAGGCGGCACAAAGGAACAAGCTCCGTGACAGGAGGCAGCGGGATCTGCGCCTCGGCCGGAGGGAACCGACGGGGGGGACCACGCGTGGCCTTCCCCTCCTCCTCCGTGACTCATTTGCATATGCAAATCAGGAGGCCGCCGGGCCGCGCCCTCCCGGGGGGTGGTCGTCGGGCCAGGGCCGGGGGCCTGGAACGATGGTACCCAATTCAAGGGGTGCCTTGGACGGAGAAATAAGGGTCGGTGCGTCCCTTCCACCAGCGGAGGGAGGACGGGGGTGCTGAGGGTTGTCTGTTGGGTGTTGACTGATACTCACATCCCACACAAGCGCGGCTGCCTCCCCAGAGTCGGGGTGTGGGGGAACAGACCCCCGAGGCATGCAGGAAGGAGGGGGAGAATAGCGATTTGCCTCCAGGGCTTTTCCGCCTGGGCTAGCGGGTGCTCCTCCTGGGACTTGGGCTCCCGAATCCCATCCGTCCGTCCAGCCCCCAGCATTCCTCCCCGGCCGGGGGCCCGGTGCGTGTCCCTCGCCTCCCCCGCCGCTCCGAGCGCACCTGGTCCCTTTCCTATGGGGAGGATGTTGCGCCTTCCGCTCTTATTTCTCAGCTCGGGCTGGTGCTGAGCCTCGGGTGAAGCTCTTCCCACCCCCACCCGACTGCCGGAGAGGATTCCCCGCGGGCCTGTTTGCCCTCGGCACCCACAGGGGACCAAGGTCACTCGTGGAGCCAGCGAGGACAGACCTGGACCGCGCAGGCCTGCACTGATTCACCAATATGCCCCGCTCAGCTGCTCTCCATGAGAAATCCTAAAAGCGTAATTACATTAAAAAGTCTGATTTGTTTAAATAATCCTCTTTAGGATTCCTTTAATCTGCCCTGTATTTCCCTCGTCGGCTTTATTCCTGAGTTGTCCGGCTCAACTGAGTTTGGCTGGACAACCAGCAGCTGAGGAAACCCTTCTTCATCTTCCTCCTCCTGTGGAGCCCTCCAAGCCTTCGGGCAACCCCAGCGCCCCGGAGCCGGCTCCCGGCTGCAGGTAGGCAGCAGGTCCCGGGGTCTGTCGACGGGACGGGGGGCGGCAGGGGGTCCGACAGCCCTGCTCGACCCATGCCGAGAGCCAGCCTGAGCATCACCCATGTCCCGCGGACAGGGGAAGCGAAGCGGGTCGGTGCCCTCTACCCTCGGCAGATCCGGGCCAGATCCGGCCCGGGAATGCTCTTGGGGAGGATCGTTACTCGATTTTTAAGGAGAAATGCCATTTTTCGCCTGTACAGCTCCAGAGGAGTGCAAGACGGAGTGTATGGCAAAGGCAGAGGATTGAACTGCGACTGGAGAGGGCGGGAGTAGGGGAGCAATCTCTCTGTGTCCCTCTGACAGAGGCAAGTGAAGGAGGGGCTCGGGGGAAATCTGAATGCAACCCCCGAACTCTGCAGCTGCCCCTGCCGGTCCGGGCTCTCGCCGACCGCTTTCCCCGCGAGCGGTGGAGCTCGCACTTTGAAGGACGGCTTTATTTTCCTCAGTGCAGAAGATTTGAGTTCATGTTCCAATCCCATTGGAAAAAAAAAAAAAAAAAAAAAAAAAAGAAAAGAAAAGAAAAAAAAAAGGAGAAAGAAATGCACAACTTTAGATGGCGCTGTACAACATTTATTTAAGCCCTCTGAGTATTCCCGGCTCCTCGGCCTGCAGAGAGAAGAGCCCTCGGCGGGCAGAGGCGGGCTGGGCTGGGCGGGGATGGGGTGGGATACGCTGGAGTAGGATGGAGTGGGATGAGGTGTAGGAGGGGTCCAGTCCCAGCGGCAGCAGGCACGGAGGGCAGGGAGCTCTCTCCCCAGCCTGCGCCTCCATCCTCGGACGGTGATAGCAAACTGCAGCTCTAAGCAGGAAGAGTTAAAAAGCATGAAAATGGCAGAAGCCATCTCCCGTTTCCCCACTGCTCCCCTTCTCAAATAGATGGAAACTCCCTAATGCCTCCGATGAGACGCGGAGGGGGGAGCTGCAGGGTACGCCGACAGCGAGTGCTGCTGCTTTCCCCCTTCCGTCCCCCGGTCCCACTGACCTGGGCATGGCCTCGGCATTGCCCCATCCTCCGGGCAGATGCAGAAGAAAGGGTCCCCCGGCTCCAGCTCTGCTCACTTGTCCTCTTCGCCCTGCCGGCTGCGGGTCTAGGGCAGGGATAGAGAGGAGCAGAAAGAGGAGAAGGAAAGCAGACAGACAGCCTGGTCGAGGGGGACAGGCGGCTCTCCACCTGCCTCGGCGCCCGGTTTCATCAGGGGCAGCGAGGAGCGGAGTCCCGTCGCCTGCCCTCGGCTCGGTGGGGCCCCACGCAAGGCCCGCGTGGGCTCAGGCCTGGTGGTCCTCGACTGCTCGAGGACGAGGCCATGGTCACGGCCCGGTCCCGGCCCATCGGTGTCCCCGGGCCGGCGGCGAAGAAAGCCGACCCGAGACTGGACAGGCCGGCTTTTAACCGATTGGGTGGGTAGAAAAGCGGAGCGGGGGCCGCAGCCGGGAACCCCGCCGTGCCGCCGGCCCCTCGCCACCCCGCGCATCCCACGCACACAGCAAATGCGAGCCCGAGCCCTGCGAGAGGGAGCGGAGCGCAGGGACCGGCGCCCGGAGCGCTCCCGGGAGCGGCGCGCAGAGCCCGGCGCCGAGTGCCGATCGCTCCGGTCCGACCCTCGGGAGAGGTACCCGCTGGAAACAGCGTGGGAACAGATCCTCTCGGAGAGAGGCAAGGAGCTGTCAGACAAATACATCCAATACAGCCCTGAGCCTTAAATGTCCAGACAGTTTCAGGCAATTTTTCAGCGGGAACTCGTGATATATTATCACCATTATTACGAGGTGGTTTTAATTTCTGGTTAAAAAGGAAGATGCGGGAGGTGAGGCATGACTGCAATTGCAAAGACAATTAATTATTTTTAAAGAGTAGAAAAATTTAAAATAGTTTTTAAAAAATCGAAGGTATAAGGGCTCTTAACAAGGGATGAGCAGTTTAAAAATTGCTGCATCTATCGAAAACAAAACCTAAATATGCCATCGAAATGGCACTATGCACACAGCGTATGGTGTATGTATATATACATTTATTTATTATATTTATATATGTAATTATATTTATATATATGCAAACATCCATACACTAAAATAAAGAATTACAGCCAGCCTGGATCCTGAACACAGTCTACACTTTATTTCAGACTACAGATTTCTGAACATAATAAAATCTTTGGCTTGTAGCGGCGGGTTCAGTCTCGCAGTCTGTGGATCAGAATTTTTTTTTTTCCTCGGGAAAAAAAAAAAGAGAGAGACAGAAATTCACACACACACAAAGAAAAAATAAAATAAGATCAAACGACGGATGAGAAAAGTCTGACATTTACTGTAAAACAGGAGCAACGGACATCGGGGCGGAAGAAAAAAAGAAAGCAAACAAAACGAACAAACGAACAAAAGAAAGGAGAAACAGAGAGAAGGGAAGAGAGAAACTGTCCAGCAAATAGAGATCGCTACACATATTTCTTACCTGAAATTAAATATATACAAGGTCATATGCTGTTTGGCTATATAGAGATAATTTTTCTTAAGTGTTCATATTTTTTTTTTTTTTCTTAATCGGAGTCCTTATACTATGGATAGACAATAGATCTGCTTTTAAATCGCACCTGTCCGCCTCCCGGCCGGCGGGCCGGCGCCGCGGCGCAGGGCTGGGCTGGGGCCGCCCGCCTCACTCGCTCTCCTCTTTGTCCTGCACCGTGGTTGTGGAGTGGTTGTAGAGTCCCTGGGCCATGAGGTGCAGCGCCAGCCCGTTCTTGATGCCGGTCGCCTTCTTGATTTTGGCCCGTTTGTTCTGGAACCAGATCTTGATCTGGGACTCGTTAAGACTGAGCTCCTGGGCCAGGCTCTGCCGCCGCTGCTCCGTGATGTACCGGTTCGCCTGGAACTCCGCCTTCAGCCGCTGCAGCTGCTCGGCCGTGAACGCCGTCCGCGGCCGCTTGTCCTCCTTCTCCGTCTTCTTCTTCTTCAGCTTCCTGGTGCGGGGGCCTGCGGGCAGGGCACACACACGCCGCTGGGCAGGGCCGCGCCGCCGACCGACTGACCGACCGGCCGACAGACCGACCGCTGCCCCCGCCCCGCCGGCCGCGGAAAAATGGCCGACGGGTGAATTTCTGCTGGTTCCGTGTGTCCCCCCCAGCCCCTCAACCCCGGCATCGCCGCCCCGGCACGGCGGAGGGAAGGATGGGGAAGGAACGGGGAGGCCGGGGCCGAGCGCGCCCGCGCATCACCCGCCGCCCCGGCCCCGCCGAGCCGGCCCCGCCGGCGAGGGGAGCGGAGCCCTGCTCGCCCCCCGCCCTGGCACACGTCGGGGCGCCGCTCCGCCCGCCCTGCCGGGCCGAGCTGCTTTCCTTCTGCATGGCCCGGGACTGGGGCCCGCCGGCCGGGCAGCGGCTCCACCGGGCAGCGCGGGGACCAAATGTCCCTGCTGCCAGGCACCGGGGAGCGGCCGCCAGCAGCGGACTGGCAGAAGGCTTCCTTGGTCTCCTTTCGGGGGACAACGACCCTCTCCGCAAGGCCAGCCCAGTCCTAGGGCACCCTTCTCGGCTGCCACCGCCCGGGTCGCCTGGGTTCTCCGGCGGCCGATCCCTGCCGGGGACCTACGGCCCCGCTCGCAGCTCCCTCCGCGAAGCCCAGCCAAAAGCAGAGCTCCGCTTCTCCACATCCAGGCCGCAAAGGGGCCAGCTGCAGTGCGGCACAGCTAGCCGGGAAAGCCACCGGGTCCCGGGGCGCATCCTGAGGGCAGTACCTAGCCGAGGAGGGGGTAAACCCGGTCCTCTGCCCGCCGGCCTGGCCCAGCCATGGGGAAGAGGAGCGGGGAGGGAACCGTGAAGAATGGGATCTACGAAAATTCCCCGACAGCTGCCGGGCTCGGCGGGCGGTCCCAGGCCCGCAGCCCCCCGCCAGCAGCAGCCGGAGCCGAAGCCGGTGAGGCCTCCCTGCCGCCGAGTAGGCCGAAAGCTCCTCTCCCGGTGCAGTTATTACCCGGAACGGGGGGATTCCCCCCGGCTCGGCAGCGGCTGTCGGCGGGGAGAGAGACGAGGCCCGGTGGGGAGAGGGACGGGGCCCAGCGGGATGCTCCCGGGCTGGACCGGCGGGGGATGGAGGGCGCGGGGAGTGAATCGCTGAGTCCTGGCACCTTGCAGCGGGGTGCTGGCGCCTCCGACCGCCGCAGCCCGCTCGTCCCCGGAGCCGAGAGAAGCAGCCGGGGCCGGCGGACAGCTACGAGCACAACAAAGAGAGCGGCCGAGCCGAGCCAGTCTCCCCTCGCCCTTCTCCCCTCTGGGTTGCAGCGAGCAGGGAGCGTCGGGGAGGAGGACATGCAGAAATGATCCTTTGCCCGAAGAAAGGGGAGGAAAGGAAATTAAAGCGCAAGTGCAGAATGCCGGGCGCTCGGTGGACCTGGGAATCGGCAGCATAACACCCGCGGCCGGGCCGGCCGGGAGCGAGGCCGTGCCGTCTGACAGCTCTATCACCCCATCAATCACCCCAGTCAATCAAAGAGGCTTTTCTGAGTTTGAAGTCGCTGGACGTGTCAATAACGGGGGATGGAGACGGCTCGGCCGCACTGACGGCCGGCGAGGAGCACCAGGCCGGGCAGTGCGGAGCGGGGCCGGGGCCGGGCAGTTCCGCCTTCCCCGCGCACCCGAGCGGCCCCGGGCAGGCACAGGGGAGCCCAGCCCGACCCCGCGCCGCGCTGGCCGATCCCTGGCTGCTGCCTGGAGGTGCCATGGGGGAACCCCATCTCCTCGTCCTCTGCTTCTTTCAGAAAAAAAGGCAATAAAAACCAGAAAGTAACGGTGATAAATAAAGGGGTGCCTGAGGGGACCTGGGGAATGCAAAGACGTAGAAGGGGCGGCAAAAGAGAGCCGGGAGGGCCGAAGCGGCGACTCCCACGGGGAGGACCTCGGGCAGAGGCATATCCCCATCCTGGAGCTGGGCCCCAAACGGCAGCAGGGAGCACCAGCTCCGGCGGCAATGCGCGGCCTAAGGGCCTGCCTGGCTCGCTGCAGAGGCCTCGGTAAACAGCCCCTCCGCCACCTTCTAAAAAGCCCTTTTTCCTTCGCCTCCAAGAAAACACTACCTCCTCCCCCCGCACAGCCAGCAGCCGCTCAACATGTGGCTCGGGTCTTCGCCCCCTCGCTCCTCCAGCAGCACCCAGGAAAAAAAAATAAAAGAAGCGGAGAAGAAGCCTCAGAACAAGGCAGCGGCCGACCCCGCTGCCTTTTTCTCGCAACGCTCTCACCCCGCGCCACCGCGCTACGAACACCCGGGGCTGCGGCGGGCGGGGCGGGCGGGGGGCGCGGGAAGGGGTCGCTCCCACCGGCTCTCCGCATCGAACCGCTGCCGAATCGGGGCCCGGCGTCACATTCAAATTTGGGAGACTCGGAGGAGGAAGGAGGGTTGGTGGCGGTGCGGGGGAAGCGTTTCTTCTCGCCCCGGGTGACCCAGGCCGCCCTCCCCCCCACGCGAGGTCCTCAACAAGCCGGGAGCCAAAGCCAAGGGGGGAAGAGGGAAAGGAGAAGGGGGGGTGGGGGGGGGCGACCTTGTCACGATTTAACAGCTCCCAGATGCGCCGCGGTTCCTTACCCGAGGACGGTCTGTCTGAATACCTAGTGCAGTAGACCCAGGCAGGCCACACCAGCGGCTGTTGCGAGTCGGGCTTTATAACAGGTCCTCCATTATTAGAGCCCATGAGGAGGATGGCGGGGCTGCCGTGCTCCCCGTACTTCGCCGGGTGAGTCTCGCCCCCGTCGGTGGGGGGCTTGGCCGCCCCCGACGCCGCCGCCGCTGCCGCCGCGGCGGGACTGGCTTTGGCGGCGGCGGCGGCGGGCGGCGGCGGCGCGGAGCCGTCGGGACGGCAGTTCGAGTCCGGGCAGAGGAGGGCGGGCGGGTTGGGCGGCCGGGCCAGCAGCGGGTTGACGTTTTCTCTACCTGAGCTCTGCCCCCGGTCTCCGTCCCGTTCCCGGCTACCTCCTCCTCCTCCGCCGCCGGCCGGCGCGGGCGGCTCCTTCTTGCAGCCGAAGTCCGGCCTCAGGATGTTGTCGATGAAAAAGTTGGTGGTGCGGTGGGGCGGCGGGGGCGGCGGCGGGGGCGGCGGGTGGCGGCGGCGGGGCAGGGGCAGGGGGCAGGGCGCGGCGGGGGAGGCGGGCGCGGGGCTGGGGGACACGGGCACGCTCTCGCCATCGCTGCCGCTGCTGCTGCTCGCCGGGCCGGGCGCCGCGTCTCGGTGGCCGTGCCCCTCCGGCGGCTCTTCCATGCTCAGTCCCCGCCACGGAGATCGCTGCCTCTTTTCCCCCCCACCCACCCACTTTACGCCCACCCCACTTTGACGGTGGGTGGCGGGGTGGAAAAGGGGGAGGAAAAATTAAAAAAAAAAAAAAAAAAAAAAAAAAAAAAAAAAAGAAAAAAAAAAAAAAAAAATCCACTTGTTGGGCTGGAGCTGAGATTTTTTTTCTCTCCCTCTCACGGATGGATCCAAAACCTGGGAGATACTCGAGGGCTTCTCTCCCCCTT